TATTTTAGATGATTTTAATTGAATTGCAATCAGATTAATGTCGTATCGTTCCCGATCGATAAACACCGTTTTTATGAATAGCAACGCTCTAGGTTAAAGACAAAATGAAGTTTTTAAAAGTTTTTTGCTTACAAATTAGGTCACGGATTCTATTGTTCATAATAATTATTATAAAATTAATTTAAATCTATTTTTGGTATTTTGTTTTATGTTTTTCACATATCAGGATAATCGAGGTAATATATTTTTAATTTTAAGCTTAATTTCTAAAATTCAAAATTTCTTAATTTCTTCTTTTAAGAATTTCTTTTCTAGTGTCGTCCATTTTCAATTTTGCTATCATATTTCCTTCTTTAACTTGTTTTAGCCTTTGTTCGGTTCTCATTATTATGAGAATTTGGGAAATTTTGAATAGTAATTTTTTGGAGAATGTGTGATTAATAAGAAGAGAGAAAAATGAATTATAATTTTAATGGGGTGAAAAAAGAGTTTATATATATTTATGAAATTGACATATTTATTGTCATCTAGACATTGAGATCTTAGTTATACAAGTGTGAAAATACATAAATGACGTGTCAATAGTTTTTAATTTTGATATTATACATGCCGACGACACATTCAAAGGAACGTCACATTGACACAATTTTATGGATGACACTTCAACACATTTATACGAATTTGTCACAACTTGCTAGAGAAAATGAAGACATTAAAATACGAATGCCACATCTTATAGAATAAATATACGAACGGGTGTCACAAATATAATTTAGATTAGAGGTGGACAAAATAATCAAACCAAATCAGAATTGAACCCAATCGAGTGGTACGATTTGATTCTACAAACAAAATTTAATAATTTTGGTTCTTAGAACAAAAACTATTTGGTTTTGATTCTGATTCTGATTTCAATTCTTGATTCAGGTTCAGAACCAAGTTTAATTTATATATATATAAATATATATTGGTGAATCACAACAAGAAATTCGACTCTTGTCAGTGACTCATTTGCTTATATTAGTGAATCATTTTTATTAGACAATATTTTGTATGGGAACGAAACTTGATGTTTGTGTATTTTTTGTTTGTTAGTTTGGACTTTTGTAAATGAATTTTATTACATAATATTTCATTTGATGAATGATAATTTGAAGCTGAATTTGTTCAATGTTTTGAAGTTCATTTTTTTGATTTATGCATATATTACTAACGTATGAATATAGTGATAAATTTTAAATTGTATTTATCATTTAAATTTAAGGAATTAAATCAAAATCAAACCAAACCAATTCAAAATTGAATGGTTCGGTTCGATTTAATTCCATATCTTTAAAAAAACAAAAAAATCATTGGTTCATTGTTCGGTTCTCTTAGAACCAGAACCAAATAGAATTATGATCATCTCTAATTTAAATGATGAAAGACGATATAAATATAAAAAAAACAAATAGTGGCAGACACAATTTCTAGAATTTACTTTCCGTTGTTATATATACAATTGTATTAGAGGTCATGACATAGCTTTTATTTCACGTGGAAGAACTTTTGGAGAAATTTACTTTAATTTGTATTTAGAAATTAACTTTTAAAAGCACTTCTGAAATGAGAAGTGTTTTTAGAAAAAGTTATATTTGACCAATTTCCTTTAAAAGCTCTCCTAATTATCAAAAATACTTTTGTAAAATTAGTCAAACGAATCCAAAAGAAACTTTTGGATCTCAAAATCTCATTTTGACTTTTTAAAAGTCATGCCTAATGGGCCCTAAGTCAATCGTTACCCTTGTTTCAACCTCATCGTCACAACACAATAAGCGAGATATATGGACTGTGGACATGGAGAGAGAACGCCTAGCTAAAAGTTTGTGCGGAATATGAATATATGATGGGGGTAGAAAATATATTTTTATGTCCACCAATTTCTGTCAAATTTCTTATTTAAAAAAAAATCATTATTATTTTTTAAAAAATAAATAAATTATGAATTATGACCTGATCTTTACAGTTCTTTTCAAATTATAATATTTGTGAAAATGTAGTAAACTTAAATAAATAGTATATACGAATTTTTCCTAATGCCATTTTTCTTTCTTTCTGATTCTACCGAGCCTTCAAGTTGAGTTTTGAGTTCAATTTACAAGACGAAATCAGTGTTTATGTCCAGAGTTATCCCGTAATTCTTGCTATCGTCCGCATATGAGGGAGTTAGCTTCAGTAATTAGTAGCTGTGGTAAAAACTATTATTAACTTTAGGCCATGTTTGATAAGCCTAATTTTCCATGGAACTTGGAAAAGAATTTCCTTCTTTTTCGATTTGGCATGTTTGATAGACACAATTTTCTAGGGTAAAAGTTTTCCAAGGTCCTCCTCCACGCGCCAGTTTTCTGCTTTTTTAATGAAAATGTTTTCCCACTTTTTTGGTGGGAAAACTGTTTCCAAGGTAGCAGACCATTTTTTTTTTTTTTATAGCAATGGAAATAAATGTCATGGCCAATTATAAAAAAAAAATAATCACTTTAATGAACAATTTTCATGTAAAATAAGTCAAACGAACACTAAACTTCGATGAAAAAAATGATTTTTTAGGAAATAATTTTTTTTTTTTACTTTTTGGCAATAGAAACAAATTTTATAACCAATTGTGAAAAAAATATCACTTTAATGGACAATTTCTATGTAAAACAAAGTCAAACGAATAGAAAATTTAAAAAATTTTCGGGTGGAAATTTATACCAATCAAACACACTTGAAATCATTTTTCCTGCAAAATATTTTCTAGGCAAATCTTTTCCCTGTAAAACATTTTCTTTCCACCAATTTTCCATCCTTGCAATCAAACGCACCCTATAATTATTTTTACAAATGAAAGAACTAGTATATCCTTTGATTTCCGTTACCCAAATTTGAATTCTTTGACAATGAAACTGGCATTCAGATAGAATCGATATTAACTTTGCAGCCTGTTTGTTTCCCATTTTACTTTCATTTTTAGAAAAAAAAGAGTTGTTAGTGGGCCCCAAATGGCATGACATATTTGACTTTCATCTCACAATAATTTTGACTTGTGTGCCCAACGGTCATAAAATACATTCTCATTTTTGGCCAAAATGGTTACCAAACAGGGGCATATGTCTTTCGAGGAGTGACCTCTCCAGTATTGTTTGTGCATACGAATTTGGAATCCTTACAAAGGAGGGACCAGTTACGGAGGACAAGTCAATCAACATAGTTCTTAGGAGAGTCCACGTTCAATAATTTTGGCATTGGCATTAGTCTAAACAGAGCCATCATCAACACAAATGACATGCAAACCAGACACTGACATACTTCAGCACCTTACAACCTTGTTGTAACAAGTAATGATGTCTCGAAACATTAAAAAATATACCAAAATGTATCGGGAAAAAACAGCAAAAGAGGATAAACTTTAGGATAGCATATTTATGTCCCGCCCCAGAATTGCTCTATCAGTGCAGCCTATCAATTGCCCACATCGAGATTTGAAAGTTTGAAAGATGTATTATAGAGTGTGTCCGGAAGAAATTTTCCCAAATCAAAATCAATTTTTGGGTCACATCAGGCGGTCCCACTTTCCACCACCATTTGAAGTATTGGTGAGAATTTGAACACAAAAAGACAATTTCATCCTCATCACATGTGCAAAGTCTCAAGGTTCTCTACTGCAAAGGGGTAAAATTGGAAAAGGGGTGTAAATGGGTTGTCCCTCAACTGCAAAGGTGTCAGATTTTGTCCATTAAGAAATGCAACAACGATCCATTTTTTGATTTTTCAATGGTTGAAATTTTGATACCTAACGTCACCAGACACGCCCATAATATATTCCTTAAAAAAAAAATGATAAATTGGATATAATGTGCCCCCATTGCAATTTGAAACTTCTGAGAGAAAATCTTAGACCGAGTAAAATTTGTGGCTCTGACAAGCAGCCTTCTTGGCATCCATCGCCGCAACTCCCCAGGCTGGTAAGTTGCGGGCCACTCTGATCACTCATCGGTTTCCAACATGCGCATATCAAAATGAGTCGATGTCTTGGAAGATATGCTCAAGTAAAAAGACGGGGCAGAGAGCAGCATGTACAAGAGCCGAAATAGGAGTAGCGGAGGAGAATTTGGGATCGCATACTGAAATTTTTGAATAAGTGAAATTCTTATTTTCAATAAACTATTCATTTTCAGCTACGAAATTCTTTTAGGCAACCTTGTGGTTTTCAGAAGGTTCAGTAATGATATAGTCAACATGTAGAATATTTGGTCTCAACCAAGTCATTCCATTTAGAAACCTGAAGAGAATACCTGATTCTCTTCAGGTTGGTCAGTTAAGAGCAAATGCAATCTAAATGCGAACCCAAGTTGCACAGGCTAGGAACACAAGTATACGGGTAAATCTCAAAAGAAAAGAATCTTGGGGCTCTACCGCTCTAGCAATCACCTCATACTGGGTTTAAGCAGTACATGAACCTCACCTAATGGAATCTTCAGTTCTAATCAACAACAGAATTTACTACTAAAGTTTGGAGTGGAGAAAAACTGCCATATCCATAAACAAGTCTACTCATGAACAGCCATCAATCGCTCTAGCCGATTATATTTGTCTGCAAGTTTCTCGGTCTTGTAAATCTTCTACTTATGTTACTATTGATGATATATCGTCTTTTCTAACCAAATAAACGCCCAGTCTGAAACAAACTTGTGCAGTAAAGAGATATTATTACCTACTATAATGAAATGGAACTTGAAAGAGTAATAGAAGCAAATAACCATACAACAAACTTACCAAATTCTATTAGGAATCCATTTGCTAAGAGGATAAAATATGAAATGCGGAAGTATTTAACTTATGGCACGATAAAAGGGATGACAGCTAAAGGGTAAGGCAACAAGCCCAGCAAGCATTTAAGGCGCCTTCAACCCATGTATTATTTCTTTTACCTTTTCCTTTTCTTCTGATGAGCAGTCTATAAAGTTACTATTCGATCACTTTCAGACTTTTCCTACACGGCATTCCTCTATCTTCCATATTTCACTTGCATACTGAGAAATTGTCCGATCACTGCTAAATTTTCCACTGCCAGCAGTACTTAGGATAGACATTTTAATCCATCGTTTTCTGTCCCTGCAAGTGTATGATCAGGTCAATCGCCATCCACAAAAGTTTGTTAGTCAATGTGGCAATCGGAACAAAGAGCATTTTGAAACCGATTGTAACTAAATTCATGAAGCACTACTTTCCACTAGGATTTCTTAAGTTAATTATTAGGTATAATGCTAGGCATTGAATAATAGAGGAGTCAAAAAGTTGCAGGAGTCAATTTGGTTTGACCATGCTTTATCCTGTCGAGGGCCTAATAGAGAATTAACATTTTATTATACAATGTATTGTCGGAATATATATTGAAGACAGAGTCAAACATAACGAACGCAATGGATACGAAGGATAGGAAAAGACACTACCAATAAAAAGGATGACAATAAAATACAGCACCAAAAAGTTCAACTAAAGGAAGAAAATGAAACTATTGCCAGGGCAAACAACTTTCTGGAGATACGTGTTTATATTAATTAGCCCTTGCTTCCAGTTTCAAAATGTTGTCATATACTAACAGCAAACTATATGTTTTGAAAGAAGACTTGGATACAAACTTTAAGCTATTTTCCTAACTCATGTTCAGTAGTGCTTTAAATGTTGATAAGTTGTAAATCATACGGAATGTGTTGATTATAAGTGGGTAGTACGTGTGGATCCTACGAATTGTGTGGATTATAAGTAGATGGTATTTGTGAGTTCTACAAAATGTGTGGATTTAAGTGTGTAGTATTTGTGAGTTCTATTAATGTGTCGATAAAAATAATGTTTGACTAGCTTAAATTATAATTTAAGCTTTGCCGAACAAGCACTTAAAAAGAGTTGATAGAGCAATAACAACTTATTCACAATAAACTAGAATAAAAAAGAATAAATAAGATGCTTTAGTTATGTGGAAAGAATTCTTCAAAGTATCTATTTTCTGTAATTGGAAATATTCACTTTCTGCTTACATTTGTAACATGAGAGAGAAATATTGCGTATTCAATTAATGTCCATGTTATTATGAGAAATGATACCTTTGGCATAACAGTTTAGTCATGCAAAATTGCACTAATCATTGCAAGTTAATTTTTTGACTAATCCTTCACATTTAAGATGCATTTTGCACGAAAAGGGCCATCTACAAAATGTAAGCACTCCATTTTATTTGCTTTACCATCTAATAAATTTTTTACAACCCTTTATCAGGAACTACCAACTTGCCCCTCACCGGTGTCCTCTACATAATGATGCCAAATTCTACACTTCTCAAATCACCATCATCTACAGTATACTCAACATATTGATGCAAACAAGTTTTCAAAAATTAATGACATTATCTCATGCACTTGGAAAGAAAATGCACGATATCCAAAAGTTCCGTATATATCTTAACTCGAGTAAATAACAAGCAGAACAATTCACCCTCCCTTGAGAAACTAACATATTTCAGTTGGGAAGATTATGGTTTATGTAGCTACTTACTTGTAAGCTTCATCCACCCTTGCCTGAGCTTCCATGTAGCTCGGAAAGTCGTGCCCAACAAGAAAATAATCACCACGACCATATCCAGAGTCGCCCTCAAGTGAGTCAAGGAGTGGATTGTAATCGTAGGTTCCAAATGCTCCAGATCTGACAAATTTTTTGGCCTCTTCGAAACGCGGATCGGGTTTGAACTGCACCATAAGTTGCAGAAATATTATCATTCCTGAGGCAATTTTTTTCCCCTATAGAAATAGATCTCTCAGCATGATAGAGGGATTTCTAATATATCCTCGATACCAAAGTGTAATGTGATTAAGAAACAACTTTCGTGAATGAGTTCGTAGTACAAGATTAGGCATCCGGAGCAAGTATCAAGACCTCTATCCTTGGAAATTAATTTTACGATTTGCTTTGTCTTTCTTCTACCTAAAAGCCCCTTCCTTATATCAAGCCGCAATGTCACATTAGCAAGTTATTCAGGTGTCTGTTTAAAGAACAGTTATAATTAACCCTAGGAAAAACACAACTTTACCATTCTTTACCAAGATAACAAGACCTAATGAACTGTAAACCCAAGAATTCATTGTCATATACCATGGCTACAGTATAAATAAGCTTAAGTTCACTGAACATAGAAAGATTTTACCATTCCTTTCTCTCTTTCTTTACGAAGGCGTGGAACTTCATCTGCAGTGGCACCAAAAAGAAAGAAATTATCTTCTCCAATTTCTTCTCTAATTTCCACATTAGCCCCATCAAGTGTTCCTATAATGAGGCATCCATTGAGTGCAAATTTCATATTGCTTGTGCCACTTGCTTCCATTCCTGCTGTACTGATGTGCTGTGACAACTCACTTCCGGGAATAAGCACCTCCGCTACAGATACATTATAATTGGGAACAAAAACTACCTGAGAATTATGGAGAACAAATTATCAGTATAAACCAAATCCTAATGATACAGCATACTGAAAATGATGTCTTGACTGATGATATAAGTTTAGGACTATTAAGTGTTACTTTATTGGATCCCAACGCAACATAAAAGGGACAGCATGCTTAATTAACAGTCAAATGAATTACCATAATTTGTCTACAGATCATGAAAACACTATCGTAACTATTTCGAGCTAATATAATTGTAAGATTGCTGAGTACATGACCAACTACATATCCTCAGTTAAATCAAAAGTAGACCAGGCTAATATACTTATGATGAAGAAGGAACAGAAGTAATTATTTTACACCATCTACAAAATGGAAGGCACCTTCCGATTTTCTATAAACCACAATGTGTCTCAAATGATATGAAATGAATTATAAGAAGAAAAAGATTCACTAATGCAAAAGATATTTAATAGAAGTTCTCGTTCTCTTTGGTTTAGCCTTTATACACGTGCAAGTGAAATTACAAATTACCTTCAAAAAGTTATTAACCTCCGGATCAGTGTTGACAACAGCACCAACATCATTTACAAGCTTAACTATTCTTTTAGCATTAGTGTACGTTGCAAAAGCTTTTCCTCCAAACATGATGGTGCGTGGTGTTGTATTTTTGCGTTGCTCGGGGCTCATCTCCTGCAATTGATCAATTTCAGCAAGTTATACATAAATACAACTCTTTGTGAATCCTATCAATTTAAAAATGTTATGATTCCTTAGTTAAGAAATGTTAAGCTTGGTTACATGATAATATATACTAGAATGGATAAAATAAGAAATAAGTATATGCACCAACAAGTGGAGTGAGACCAGTTGAGGATAAATTAAGAGAAACAGGACTTAGGTGGATGGAAGATTCATGCAGAGATCTAAAGTCAGAAGTGATGAGATCCCAGAGGAACGGGTTAGAAGAGGGAGAGGTACACCAAACTTAACATGGTCTAATGTAATTGCAAAGGCTTTGATTACATTGGATCTTTTGGTGGTAGTAGTATTAATGGTGAGACCTATCGCAGGCCCAGAGCAAATTCCCGTAGCTGACCTAAAATGTAATAATAAGGATACGTTTTCTATTTTGTTGTTTGTATGATGCCATACTTTACACTACGGACATTGCTATGTAAGATAATTGAATAATGTGTTATTTGCTTGATGCCCAGAAATGACAACAATATTAATTCCAGAGAGCTATAAACACATAGTTTCTGGCGTGTGATAACAAAGCATAATAGATGCTAAAGTAATGGCAATTGACGTTAATAGAGAAAACGGATAAGTACCACCGTGTACAATAATTAAGTTACTTAAAAGTCTACTTTGGAATGCAAAGAAAGTTGTCTCACCTTCAATTTCTTGTACCTATAGATTGCTCCCAAAATATTTAGCAGCTGCCTCTTGTATTCATGGATGCGTTTAACTTGTATATCAAAGAGACTGTTTGGGTCAATGCTCTCACCAGTCACATGCAGTATGTATTGCGCTAACCGCCTTTTGCTGGCCAACTTAGCTGATTCCCACTCAGCATGCAAGTCTGGATTGTCAGAAAACTTGTGGAAAATAAAGTCAACAAGCATATTAATCCATCCACAAGATCTCAGTTGAAACAATACCATAAGATTTTGGGAATATCTCAATACATACTTGCCGTAGATTTACAAGTAGGTCCAGATGAGTCACCCATTGATCTGTCTTCAACCATTTGGTGATTATATGACTGAGCTCAGGATTGCAAAACCTGATCCATCGACGAGGAGTTATCCCATTCGTCTTGTTCTGAAATTTAGTAGGCCAGATAGAAACATAATCAGCAAATAACTCAGCCTTTAAGATATCACTATGCAGTTGAGCAACACCATTCACCTGCAGGGACAGCATCAATTAAGATGTAAGTTTCTGATTTATGATTAGTCACATACATAAAAAGTACAGCAGGTCTTACAAAAGTATGCAATTGCTGCAGTACAATATCATGTAGAAGCCTAGAAAACAACTTATAAGTGAAGATGTTATAAGTAATTCAATGTAATCAGACCTCTTAATCAAAGGCTTTAAATTTAGTATAATAAATATGGAATACTAGGAGATCTCATGTTAGAAATTACAGATTATTAATTTTCCCCCAAGACGTGTTTGTTTTAGGCACTTAAGTAGAGAAGTGTTACAGGGAGTCTACGTGATTGCAAAGAACCTATAAATTAAAAAGAAGTTTTAAGTTATGGTAATTAGACCAGCTATACTTTACAGTTATTAGTGATGGGTAGTTAAAAGGAGAAAATGTCCATAGTATGAATGTAACAGATATCATGATACAAAGATGGATGTGTGGCCATACTAAAATGCATATAAACAAGAAGTGAGAATAAGTAAAATAATTGGATATGGCACCATATGAGGATAACTAAGGGAATGATTTAAGTGGTCGGGCATGTCTATGCAGACCTGAAGAAGCTCCAATTCACAACCAGTAGAACCAGTTAGAAGAAAGTGATGTACACCAAAATTAACATGAGTGGATGTGATTACAAAAGATTTGATTTCATAGATCATTTAGTAAATTGGTGTAAGATCTTTAATAAATAAAGTGTTGTGGAAATAATTTTTTTCCTTGTTTACAGGTGTCTTTAGAATCTAAAAAACTTTCTTATCGATAGATAGATTGTCTTTACTTCAACACATTCAATGTTCTAGAAACAAACTCACGTGCATGACTATATTTTAAAGAAGTGTGAAATGATCAAATTTATGCATGATGCTGCAGAATAAACTCTTACTGTGTGTGAAGACACCACACATAAGTTGGCCATGCGCACAATTGCCTTCTGTGGATTGTGATCCAAAATGCGCATGCCAGCAAGTTGATTCTCAAGGTCAGGTCTTGTTGACTGGATCATTGCAATGAACTGCACCATGCAAGAAAATATCTTAGTTAATAGAACCTTATACGCAGGTAGGTAGTAGATGGGGGAATGAGATACCCTCTTGTCAATTTCTTCAATGATTTCCATATGGCGAGGAAGGAGTTTCCACATGACTGCTTGTGACCATTTTTCCAGCGCTTCAGGAAGGACTGTATGATTGGTATAAGCAATTGTCCTGGACACGTCATAAATGTTATCTATGTGCACAAATTCAGAGGACAACATAGCAAGAAGCAAAGTCACAATTGTATATAGAACCACTCCAGGATGATTCAGTGTAGAACCTTGTGGTGATATCCCAAGCTTCATCCCATCCAAGTCCTTCAACATCCAATAGCAAACGCATCAACTCGGGAATTGCAAGTGTAGGATGTGTGTCATTCAGTTGTACTGCGACTTTAGTGGGGAATTCAGACCACCGAATCTCATTATTTCCATTGTTCCTCTCCTTAAATCTGGAAATAATGTCCTATAAAAGATACCACATAAGAGAACAGTAGATCAAGTAACATATACTAGATTTCCATATCACTATTATACATTATACAAAGGACCTTGTTTCTTAATTTCTAAGCACTAAAGAGGGAGATTCCTTTGGTTGTAAGATTCAGGCATCCTGATAAGGCCTACTCAGTTGAACAGTAAATGTCTTTTCCACGAAACTTCACATGATGAACAAGAACAGTGACTTGAAGGTGAAAATCCTAACACCTTCCCGGAACCAAATTGGATATCTTTTCCAGATTGACATTGTATCAACAAGAAGAATCTTTACATTCTTAAATACTTTTAGGCCCCTGTTTGATCCACATTAAAATTTTTCATTCTCATTCTTCTACTCATTTTCAACCACACATTTTTCAATAAAATAATATTTTCCATTATATCAATAAATTTTCCTTCTTTTTCAACCACACATTTTCCATCAACTTACTATTCCAAAATACAACCACACGTTCTCCATCAATCCACAATTCCAAAATACATTTTTCCAAAATAATGTGGCTCAAACACACCCTACGTCTTTAAATAAACTCTGCTGCTAAATTATGCTTTTCACTTGCGAATTTCTTAATAGGACATAATTTGATAAATATCAAAAAGCTTGTTTGGGTAAAATTACAATGAAATTACAATGTGGAGGAGTAATGGGACATGTGAAATGTGTAGATAATAAGTGGGTAGTGGTCGTGACTGTGTGGTTTACATTAATGTGACTTTGACTTTAAATTACAATGAACTTACAATTTTACCAAAACAAGCACAAAGTTCCCAAAACAAGTTTCGAGGAGGCCGCGACATTTCATTGGTTAAATTTGAAGTAGGGTCAGCAAAAAACCAGACCATTTTGGGGGAATGCTGACAGCTTTTGACACAAACAGCTCATCAATTACATATGAACTGAAAATCTTCATATAGGAACATAGAAGTAAGAGAACATCATACCTGAAGTGATGCACTACATAGGAAAAACTGCTGCTTCAGTCGTAAAAGTTTTCCATTTTCTGTAGCATCCCCAGGATATAGAACAGCACAAATCTGCAAAAATCCTCGATTCATACACCAAATCAAGCTGAAAGTTGGATCATGTAAACCTCACTATCTTAAACGCAATAATTAGAATACGGTGCACATTCAAGGATGTATATTATTGCTGTCCAATATTTTTAGTTGGTTAAAAAATAATTAACCTGCTGAGCGCTGGAATGAAGATGTGCAGCAGATTCGTACTGTCCATCATTAAATTGAAATAAGTCAAAGTCCTCGGCAGTAGCTTTGGCATCCCAGAGACGAAGACTGTTAGTGTTCTTGGTTTTGTATCCAGGAATTGGCACATCATATGCAACAGCTTGTAAGATCTCACCACCGACCCATTTTCGGCTACAGCATTACAGAGCATTGCATGCATGAATTTAATTTTTCAAAGAAAACTTTTTGTTTGTTTTAAATTCTTTAAAGAAACTGGCTCTCTGAATAACTAACTTAGAAGTAAACATAACAAAATCATAATGTTTGAAGTTGCACTTACGAGCCATTGGGCAGAACCTCAACATGACCAAAGAATCTTATTGGAAAGACAATATCATGCCTGACAACTTCCCAGGGACTGAACTTCTGTCAACAACCAGAGAATAGGACTTATATTGGTTCCACAAGAAAGGTTAGCCTAGTACTAACAGAAGTTCAACTGCAAACAAACCTCCAACCAGTCTTCTGCAATTTCCTCTTGGCCTGCTTTGGTGATCAGTTGCTTGAACAGCCCATATCTGTATCTCAAACCATAGCCCCATGCAGGCAAATTCAACGTTGCCATTGAGTCTAGAAAACATGAAGCCAGCCTTCCTAAACCACCATTTCCAAGAGCTGCATCTTTCTCCTAAAAAATTCAATTCAAAACACCCTCTATATAACTCATGGAAGAACGTACAGGTCCAGATGAGATCCAATAGGATTATAATCCAAACCTGAGAGTAACTCAGAAATAGTTACCACTACTAAGCACCTAAACAAGAACTTCAGGGCAAGTCAATTGATTCATAATAGTAGCCCACGGAAATAGGACTGACATAAAACATAAATATCAGTCATGTCAAAAAGAAAAAAACTAAATACATGAGGGGTTAAATGTTAACCTATCTCTGGAATCTAGTTTATATTACTTCGCAAAACCACTTGCATGCCGCTGATCTAACCAAAAACAAAGGAAACTGAACACCAACAGAAACAGAGTCAGGATCTTCATATTACTTGGCACAACTATGGCAATAGCTTATCATTAAGGTACTATTTGTATGATTTTTTTGCTTCTGGACAAAATATGAGAGTATAGACAAAACACGAGATGACATACATCATATATGAAAGGGTTATTGTAGAAAATACCTGCTCTACAATATTCTCAAGTTCATGACCCAGTTGCTTCAAAGCATTAGCATATGCATTTTGAATGTCAAGATTTCCAACAGCATTACTCAGTGCTCGTCCTTGAAGATACTCCATCGATAGGTAGTATGTTTGCTTTGGGTTGACTTTGTGATAATGAAGATAAGTTTCATTCCATTGCTGCAAAAAAAACATATTGTATGTCAAAGATAATAAAACATTAAAGATGTGTAACTATAACTTTAGCACAGAGAAATGCATAACAATTCAACTACTTAACTAAGACTTAAACTTCTTTCATAAGTTTTTATAATGTCTTTACTGGTATAGGGTGGCAAAATGTGATTTCCTTAACACAACATGATGGTAAAGGCATGCCTCTTATATAATGATAGTCATATTCACAATAATGTCAACAGGTAAGGTCAAAATTGAATACACACCCTAAAAAACTTTTGCACATAGACATCATTGAGTACAATCAACAATCATTAACCTTTTCAGTGATAAGTTAAAAGGAAAAAAGAATTCATGACCTCAAGCGTGTAGTGAACAGGTGCTGCACAAATAAACATGAGACAGAGATTCAACCAACAAAAACACAACCTTCCTTCTCTACTACAATAGTTTTCCGCACGAAATGGCAATGTGAAGTAAAATGAGATAAAAATCAGCAGAGAAGGATTGAAAAAAGGTTCTAATAAGGAGTAGAAATCAGATATTGTATAACATATACAAATTGTGGATAAACGATTACCTTCATTTAGCATGAGTTTACTCTATATTTATTACAACATAAACTACATAGCTTCCATGCACCTATATCTGGACACACAGGTAATGCCAGGGTAACATGAGAAACAATGCTACAGATTGAAAATAAATCATGGTAATAAGTAACATGGTCAAGAGATTAAAAAACACTTACAATGTCGTATAGAATAGGCAAATCCAAGACATTAGCTAATTTGCAAGTATTAAGTATACGCATATCATGTTTCGAGTGGCAAGTGAATCAAATTTTCCCAAATGTTTCAACCAAGAGATAAGTCACTAGTGTTTGAAGGCAAAATTTAACTAAACAAATGTATCTCTTCCCTACCAACTTAAGTATATGGACTAGGTAGTTGAATAGTTCTGCACAGTAGCAGATCAGGTAAAAATTAATTTAAGTCACTAGTCTTGGTTTAAAGTCATGCTCACACCCATTCATGGAAAAATTGTGCATGTTTCATGCCTTCAAGAATACACTTGAGAGGACGTGTTGAAGACTTAGCTTAAATAAATAAATTTTGCCTTGTAAAATTCTAATTTTTCTTTAATAATTTAAGCTTTAAGATGAGGTGGCTCAACCACTAAGAATAGACTGTCATGCCAAAAAACTACTACCACGCATGCGTGGAAAACCAAATAAATGTTTCATACCGCAACCCATACAAATCACTACATACATAAAATGCAACCTGATACAAAACCCATGTTCTGAAAGACAGTAAAACTGCACAAGAAGAGTTTAGCGATATCATTACAGTAGCAAAACTTCAAAGAACTAGTCAGTCAAACATACTTTTATCAATTGATCACGGACACTCTCTGCAGTTGCATAGTATGCTTGCTCTGGCTCAAACTTGAAAGGGGAAAAATGGGGACTGTATTGAGCATGGTAATTAATATTGGACGCAATCTCTGCTGGCTCATCTGCCAGCGGATGAGCAATTGTTGGAATTTCAGCTGGGATTCCAGCTTTACCAGTTGTAGAACTGTTGGCTTTCAGTGTAGCAGCCATGTCCAGTAGTTAGAATACCTATGGAGAAAACTTCAAATCATAAGTTCATTTCATGCATATAAGTTACACCTAATCTCATATCAGAATCATAACAATCACAATGATTGATTCATACAAACGCCTACATTATCTGAAGAGTTTAAAGAATACAAAATGTCAAAATTAAAAACCGTAAATTCACCAACAAAAATTCCGTTATTAATTTTTCCTAGTATCACAAATTCAGAAGAATTAAAGAATGTAAAGAGTATATCTGCCAAATTCTAAATGTGCGAATAAAAAAAAAACAAATGAATATAGGGGGTGTTTGTTTTTGATTTTTTGATTCTACGGTAAATCAATTCTCATTTTCAACCACACATTTTTCAATAAAATAATATTTTCCATCACATCAATAATTTTTTCTTTTTTTTCAACCACACATTTCCCATCATATCACTATCCAAAAATCAATTCTTCCCCCAAAAATCTCTACCAAACAAGCTCATAGTCATAAGTGAACAAATTTCCAACAAATAAAACAAAAATCGGTAAGAACATATCAGAAATGAATGAATTAAAATGGCATCAATCATTGAGTACTAATCGTAATCCCATTATTTATTTTTTTCTTAATATTGCAAAATTCAGAAAAATTAAAGAATTTAACAAGTAGATGAATTGCCAAAGCTGTAATGCGCAGCCAAAAACAACTAAAAAATGAAAATAAACAAAATCCAACGTGGTGAATCACTAAAACAAATAAGAATACTTGAAGTAAGAACAAAATATACTACCGATAATGAGCCAATATGCAAATACTCGTACAAGCAAAAAAATGTACTAGAAAAAGTGAAAGAATCAATGATTATAAAGTAATTGAAAAGCGGTTTGAGAGAAGATGCTGGTACAGTACGCTAGTAGACATAAAATTGAAGATATTTAAAGAAAGTTCCATATTATGTAATGGAATATGCTAATTGACACAGATATTTGCAGAAAATAAAAAAGCGACAAAAAAACGAAAAAGCAAATTCAAGAGGGTCTCACTTTTTATGTGGTGAAGAGTGGAATTGAAGAAGATCGATTTTCAATGGAGAGTATCGAATGAACCAAAATAATAATAAATATCAGAAGAGTGAGAAGACTACTGTGAGAGAGAGAGAGAGAGAGTGGCTTTCAATTTTCTTCACTTACAATCATTCTTCAACTTCTTCACCTCTATTTTCTCTCCTTCAAATCATCCGTTTGTTTCGAGGGTAAATTTCATTGGAGGTCCCAACCTTTCACAAGTGTAACTTTTCATCCTCAACTAAGGAAATATTCTAAATGTAAATGCAAAATTTTTCCATACATTTTAAATACATATTCTCCAAAAAATCACTATTCAAAACTTTATTTTATCCAAATAATGGTTGTCAAGCAGGGGGCTTTATTTAAAAGAATAATTAAGCCCCTATTTGACAATTAGGCCCTGTTCGGGAGGGCTTAAAATCCAATTAAAATTGAAAATATGGCCGTTATTGGGTCCCACCCGTCTAATAAAAGTCAACAATAACGGCTATATTTTCAATTTTAATCTGATTTTAATCCCTCCCAAACAAGAATATTTTTAATTTTAATCTGATTTTACTCCCTCCCAAACAAGCTCTTATTATTTCAAATTTTTTTTGTCTACATATTTTTTTTTCAATAACATATTCACACAATAAAATATTTTGTACGTAAACACAATGTTTTTTTTTTTTTGCTTTTCAATCACATATTCTTTAAAAAATCACTATTCAAAACTCCATTTTACCCAAATAATGATTGTCACATGGATTAAATTGAAATCCACAAATTTTATCAACTTTTATCAAATCTACTAAAAATTTAATTTTTATCCAAACAAAGGAGCTTAGTGCCACCATCTTCTTTGATTTGTGACCAACGGTGCAATATTCCATAAAATAAGTGTGTGAGTGCGTGAAAACGGATGAGCTCGCGTCAAGAGGGGACACTTCATGTGATCACCTTCTTCGGATCCATCAATTTTAGTGTAACGTGTCAACTTTTTATACCGTTAATTTTCACGGACTTGTAATGAATCAAAAGCAGAAGACAATTTAAAAAAAAAAAATATTAAATATCTAAAATATTCATTTGAAACAAAAAAAAATAGTTATTAAACTATCTCGAACTTATTACATACTCGATGAACATTATAGCATACAAAAAATGAGATTTTAATTCATTTTTCATCTTTATTATTGTCTAGTACTGTATAGTTTCCATAATGTTGTGTTTGCCGTATTGAATCATAACCTATAAAAAATTATTATAAATTACAATGAACGAAAATACGTAAATAGTATTATGATGGATTAGGTAGATAATATTCCTTGCTTTTTTATTCAAAAAATCACGTTTGCTCTATAAGCCCTAACACGTAAAAGGAGCATGGAGATAAATTTAGCTAGAATAAGAAAAAATATAACAAATAACATTCTTTTAAATAAAAATAAAAAATACTATCGATCTACTTGAGATTATCTATTATAATTTTAAACTAAATTCCTTATGTGTTTTGATCCGAAGTGCCAAACACAACATTAGTTTAAGATGTAAGAGAACTTCTCTTCAATTCAATACGCTATTTTGCAGGGAATTTTCGAGAATACGAGATTTGAACTCATTACTTTTTTATTTCTATACTATAGTAATTGCCTATTTGAGCTCCATTCTCAAAAAATTAGTTTTTTTTTTAATTTATTTTTAATTATTCATTTTCTCAATAAAATAATTTTACAAGTAAACTCAAAACTTTTTTCATACTTTTTAACTACACATTCTCCAAAAAATCATTATTACAAAAAAAAAAAAAAAAAAACCTT